AATTGTTAATTAGACCCAGGGACTATTCGGATCTCACAATTACGTTGCAGAGGTATTCTTCCCAAAACTCGAGAATAGTTTCACTTGTAACATTGTTTTCTATATTTAATCTAATTAAAAATATTTCTTATTGCTTTTAAATTATATACCTATTCAATTGCTTGACTCCTACATAAGAAATTGATCCAACTCGTCTATAAATATGATCAGAAAAATATTAATTATTCCATTTATTAGAATTTGTACTTCTTAATCAAAGAATTATATCGGTTACTTTGTATTACATCATATTGTACGAGAGAATTGATAATAATACTAATGACATTTAAATGTTGCAGGATTTATAACTGAAATTTTCACTCTTATGCAATTTTGTTAATAGTTTGGAGATAAATATCAAAAAGATCTTCTAATAATAACAATTGTAATACATATTGAACGAAGTTTTGACTGTTTTTTTAAATATAAATAAATAAATACCAGCAAATCCTGTGTGGAACGAATGTAAATGTATCAAGTATAAAATGATCAATGATAAAATAAAAAAAAATCCAAATGTATAATTAGATTTCATTATCTGGAAAATTCGATACAGAAACAGATAAAACACTCAAGAAAACAGCTTTAAAACAAGACGTAGAAAAGGGGATTTGCGAAGATGTGTCTTAATAAATCATCCAAATATAACTTTAAATTACTTACCAATTATTCGCCAGTCAGATCAATACGTGTGCAGATCAACTCAAAAAGCCCTTATTTAAATTTAAATTTTACTCGAGCTACTTTATTCCAAAATGAAATTAGGAATACTGTACGTAAGACGTAAAACTCTCGTGGTGTAGTTTTAAATCACGCCAGAGGTCGCGTTAAAACAAACGAGGTTACCGGGGATTCCCCCAAAATGTTTGAAGTCAACACTGTACAGTGTACATGAGACCCCCAATTCGAATTTGCTTGGGTCCTCACGAAGCTAAAACCCTCCACTGTTACTTGTTTATCTATGAAATGTTTAAAAATTCCGGTCAGTCTACGTTGGAAAGACTCGTCATTTACTCGCCATTCTTTGATCTTTACACCGTGACGTAACTCCTATACAAAGGATAAAAGGATATTTCAGAAAAAAAAAACAATCGTGTTTTTTTTCTGAAATATTTTTATCCTTTCGTGTTTTTTTTTGAACATATAATATTAAATTTAATAAGGAATTATAAAACTTACATGTATAGCTTGAAAAAGAATCGGTACTAATGGGCGACAGGTAATTAATTAAATTATACACCCCAAAAATCTGTAGGTCTATATATATTTCCTTATTTTATAATGTTTTACGATTCTATCAAAACATTATTCTGGTAAAGTAATCACACTGTTTGCTGAGGACTTAGTTCTGATAAGCACTGTACATATTTACACACGCAGTAGTAACTATGACGTAACGGAAGAAATTGATAAAGTGTGTCTTGCTACATACACACTGGCGAATGATTCCGTTTTTAAAAGACTCCTTCCCTCACTGGTGTGTACAATAATGTACTTTTAACAAAATCCCTCCCTTTTAATTACGTGTACAATACTTTGTGAATCCCCGACATTGAAGAAATATTTTCTAACAGATAGTTTATTCACAGGACTTACTAAGTATGCCTATTTTGAATATATTGTATATTTTAAAGAATTAATTTAACATATAAATGATCTCTCGCTCAACTTTAAAATTATAAATTGTTGAAACACTAGCATATTTTTACATATCTTCACTTCTGTATAATATGGAATATTTAATTAATGTGGTTTACATGAACACAGAAAATAACCTTTCTTCTAATTCCTCCCCACAATGAAGTTTAGAATTCGTTAGTAACAATCCGCGTTGTAGTTTTTATTCAGCATTTTTGTAAATTTTTCTATTAATTTAAAATAAAAACGAAATCCAGGAGGAGGAAAATATACCTCAGTATATGTAAATTGAAGACAAACACCAAACTTCCATAAGAGGGGATGTTCATATGTACTAAATGGAAGTCTCATAAAATATCTTAATCACTATGAGAAAAAACATAACATTTTTTCCTATTTTTATCACCAGTTAATTGTTTTCGTTAGTTTTTTAATGTTTATTTATCTTATCTGCGTTATATTTAATAACGTATATATCTAAATATATATATATAAAATTACTTGTTAGGGTCGTGCGGTAGATTTTCTAAGTATGATGCAAGCAGTGTTGCCGCAATAAAATTTCAAAACGTACTGAAGAGCCTTCAAAAAATGTACTATTTTCCTTCAAAATGTACTAGTTCTATGAATACTTTGTTTACGTACCTATATATATATATATAGGCACGTAATTTATATATATATATATATATATCATAAAATCATATT